GAGAGAGAGAGAGAGAGAGAGAGAGAGAGACAGCTATAACCCAGACTGGTTTGTTTGGAAAGGTTGCCAAGAAGAGGACTCCTCCCTCTAAAACGAACATGGCTGTGCAGCTTAGGTTTGCCAAATTGCATCTGAACGAACCACAAGACATCTGGAACAATGTCCTTTGGAGGTTAGATGACAGCAAAAGCACAAACAGCGTATCTGCACAAACATCTCATACCAACTGTAAAGCACGGTGGTGTAGGGTTGATGATTTGAGCTTGATTTGTAGCAACAGGATCTCCTCCTCTGTCCTCTGATCTCCTTGTTTACCAAAGCATTAGTTAAATGTGAGGCCATCTGTCTGATAGCTAAAGCTTGGCCCAAATTGGGTTGTGCAACAGAAAAGTAATCCCAAGCACAGCAGCAATGGCTGAAACAGAAACGAATCAAGATGTTGCAATGGTCCAGATGAAGTCCAGACCACAATCTGAATTAAATGCTGTAGTGGGACCTTATGAGAGCTGTGTATAAGTGAATACATGCAAACCTCAGTGAAATGAAGCAACACTGTGAGCCAGAATGCCTCTCCTATGATGTGAGAAACTGATAAAGTCACACAAAAGAAAAAGACAAAATACTTCAAGTTCTTGCTGCTAAAGGTGGCTTTACAAGCTGTTGAATCATGTTTTTCACAGGACTGCAGAAATGAAAGTGTAAAAAGGCTTTTGCTGCACAATAAAATTTAAGTTTAAGTTTGAAACTCAAGAACTGATGCGATGTTAATGCACCAACATCTTTGACTTAAAGTAGCTGGCACTCTCATTGCTGTCTTCCAACATCAAAATTGATGTTGGAACATTAAAAGACTGGTCTTTACAGCACTTTGTTGGTGAACAGTGTGTTTTACACCCAGTCATTTACATTAAAAGCATACAGCAACAAGCAAGTGGGGCACTGTAAACTTATCCCCTGCTGATCTAAATTACTGTCCTCAAGAGGACGGTAATAAGGGATACGGTAAAAGTATGCAGGAAGAGGAGAAGGCAGGGAGAAGGAGAGAAAATAAGGTGGGAAATATGAGGTTGTGTTCACTTCAGACAGAACCTGAAATCATTTTATAAAAACACTATGGTTCACATGATAAGCTAAACATTTGTGCAGCTGTTAAGTTTTTTCTTTTTTTAAAGGCTTGGCCAGTTACAGCAGGGTCACTGTGACCTATATATTATCCAAGTACATGCTTGTACATGCAAGAGGCAGAGAAAGACTTTCCAAAAATTTGGGATACAGTGCATACGTCAATAGAGAATTCAATTTGCAGATCATTTCAACCTTGCAGTTATTTGTAAATAGTAGAAAGAGAACATATTTAATGAAACAGGGTTTTAAAGTCTAAAAAATTAACAAAAGTTTAAATGGAGGCCACAAAAGACTGAAAAGATATGTCATGCTAAAAATCTTTGCCAGAAATGAAAGTCAGCAGATGGAAATAGTTAGATTAGTTACAATTTAACAATAGCACTTCTTAGCATGAAACTGCAAGAAAGAATTCATGGATTTCATTATCTGTGGTCAGTAATGTGGTGAATTATAAATCAAGCAAAATGTCACAGACAATACTGAGTAGCTGGAACTACACCTAATTAAAACAGTCATTTTTAATTACATGCTGGTGTTGTAATTACGTGGCTCATGAACACGTCTCAGAACCATGTCAGTGCATCCACAAAGTCAAGTAAAAACACATGTAACCAAGAACAGGAAATATATGAACAATATCCAGGAAACACTACTGTCTTGCCTAAGCCTCTGATAATTTAAAATAAATGAAGGTGAATCCTCAGAGTTAAGAAGGAAAGGGCCCTCCAGCCTGTTATCAGTGCAGACTTCAAAAAGCCTCCCTTAATGATGGCATAGTGCATTAGTTCACATGGCCAGGATAACTTGCACATCTGTACACACTATGAATGCTAAATAATATATTGAGATTTTGGAGCAACAGATGCTGCCTTGTGGACATGTTCTGTCAGCAGGGAAAAAGCACATTCTACTGATATTATATCAGGATGTTTCCACGTCTGCAGTTTGGATCATTGGATCATAAAAAAATGACGAAGACAAACTGTTGAGGAGCTGAAATACATCAAGCAAGAGAGCTTATCTTATAGACCTTAGTATTTAAGTATAGTATTTACTGATAAATAATCAAGTTTAAATTACTTTAAAAACACTGCATCTTTTTGGCAGTAGCCAGACTTAGTACAGTGCCAGCCTTTCATCTCTATATATGGTGTATCACTCACGAGCAGGAATAGCATCCAAGCTGCTATTTTTGTCTGCTAACAGCCACAGTCATCCATCTCACAGCCAGAGCTTTTAATACACCCCCCTCCCCAAAACACACACACAGTTTTGGGTTTTTTTTTTTTGCTTTCCCTGTCTCTCGCCACCACAGAGCCCTCACTCTTTCTAGTGTTATCTTCAGGCTATCATGATGAACAACAAGTCCTTCTATTAATAGAAGCAATTTACAGTTTCAGCACAGAGCTGAGCATCATTTATCCAAGTCAGAATCAGCTGGCCACAAGAGAGACTCATTAACATCACGCAGGTCCGTCTTTTATGAACGTGTGCATGTGAATGTGATGCTATACATACATGCACTGCATGCATGTACATACGTTAGATGTCTTTTTAGAATTGAGGACAGTTGGCCCTGTCCTGACCAACAGACCTCTGCCTTACATGTCTGTACTACACATAACTTATACTAAAAGCAGAAAGGCGGGTGTCTCCCTCCCTGTGATTTGCCTAAACACGAGGCTTCACAGTATCCCAATCTCGCACTCCATGCAACTAAGGCCGATGAGATTAAAGCTGGAGAAACACTCTCAAATTCAGTCTCATAAGAGGCTACATATTTAACCTTTTAACCTGTCTTCTTGCCAAAGCTCCTTTAGACTGAGTGACATCAATAATCATAATTATGCCATCAAACTGGGAAATCAGACTAATAAAACATCTTTGTCAAACTCATTGCCATATTTCATGATATTTCATGACCTGCATTTACTAGACCAAGTCTGCTGGTGGAGATGAGTATCAGGGGTGATTTGTAATAAAAGGACAGAAGGGAGAGTGAGAGGGGAAATTTAAAAGAGGGTAGTGAGATCTGCTTTTATGAATGGTTTCAATTGAGTATCAGTAACGAAATAACAAGAGGCAAAGCTGGAGGTGTCAGAGTTGAAAATGCTAAGATTTTCAGGGTGACCGTTAAGACAGGATTAGAAATGAGTATATCAGAAGAATGGTTCAGGCTGAGCAGTTTGGAGACAAGGTTAGAGAGGCAAGGACGAGATGGTAAATGGTAAATGGCCTGTATTTATATGGTAAATGGTAAATGGCCTGCATTTGTATAGCGCTTTTCTAGTCCATAGGACCCCAAAGCGCTTTACACTACATTCAGTCATCCACCCATTCACACACACATTCACACACTGGCGATGGCAAGCTACATTGTAGCCACAGCTACCCTGGGGCGCACTGACAGAGGCGAGGCTGCCGGACACTGGCGCCACCAGGCCCTCTGACCACCACCAGTAGGCAACGGGTGAAGTGTCTTGCCCAAGGACACAACGACCGAGACTGTCCAAGCCGGGGCTCGAACCGGCAATCTTCCGATTACAAGGCGAACTCCCAACTCTTGAGCCACGATCGCCCACAAAAATATATATATATATATATATATATATACAGAGGAAAGACCACAGAGAAGATTCATGGATGCAGGGAAGGAGGGTTAGTGTGACAGAAGAGGATGCTAGGGGTAGGGTGAGATGAGGGCTGATGACTTACTCACATAAGTTACTGTGTTGACCCCTAAAGACAGCAGCCAAAAAAAAAGTAAGAGTACCTGGACCAGTAGGACCCGGGTGGATGGGTCTGACTCGTTATCTATGACAGTTTTATACTCACTCGAGAGTTACTTCCAGTTGATGAAACAGCTATTTTTCATTTATGCTATCGAACACAAAAAAACTTTCTTAGTCTTCTGGTGGTGATATGAAATGCTGAAGTATCTCTGTATATTTATACCTTGAAGACAAACAGGTTTATCTTGGTAGACTGCTTGTGTTTCCTCTATGGGAGCCAAGGGTTCAAATCTGGTCTATTCCTGCATTTAAATATAGTGCAGAAGCAGACACCAATGTTAAAGTGTGATACTGATCACACAGGCCTCTGTTAAGAAGTTCTGCATGGTGCTACGCTGTCTGACTTCTAGTTCCACCCACCCGTCTTTAACGTTATGTTTAATATTTTTTTGCCTGCACACTGATTAGATTTCAGAAAAACGTGTCTCACCAGGTAACAAGCGCATAGAAAGGTACTGCATCAAGTAAACAAGGATGAATAAAAACCACATAGATAATCTTTACTGCATGGCAATGACAGACATATCCTAAATTACTAAATAATAAACTGCTGTCCCCTTATACGCAGTTCATTACAATTTTATTGTGAATAATTTTCTTGAAGGACTTTCATACGATGAACAAAAAAAGAGCATTTTCATACCCTATGAGCATACTCTGCCAATTTGAGTAGACAAAAAAAATGTAATCAAACGCAAAATGCATCAGTGAAATCTGTTGACTGAGAAAAATATAATTTTTTCTCTGTCATATTCTTTCAGTCCTACATGCTGAATCAAACCCACACTTTAATTCCTGCAGTTTGCATCTGTAGATCTGTGAGCCTCATTGCTCTGACGTGTTTCCTAGTTAAGTCACTCCGACTCAGGGAGCACATACAGACGGCACGGGTGAGTGCTGCCAGTGGGCAGGCATTGCAAACGGTACACAGATGATTACAGCACAGTAAATGCACCCAGATTTAGAAACTTCATTCTTGTTTTCTGCAGCCTTTCAGCATGTTTTGTTACTCTCAGCTCCCTTTTGAGCCCTTCATAATATAAGTGATTCTCTGCCATTGAGAGCAGAGTTTTTAATGCTTGCTGCCAAGCTGGGTTATCCAGAGGTCTATAAATCAATAATGCTTTGACAGTGTTGACAAAACTGTGAGACTGTCATGACATCTAGGTTGAAGAACAGTAACTGTTGGACCAAAGCTTATAGAAGAAATTATTTTCATGAAAAAGGACGACGATTTCAGTGCTTTTGCACATTATTTCTTAACAGTGTCATACTCAAGCTGGAGCAAACCTACAGTCTGCGAGGAAACTCTGGCAGTAGTGGACTTAATGGATCCAGAGAGTGTCCATGCAGCATAAACAGTCTGCAGAATGAGCTGAGTGTTACTCAACACTTAATGCAGTCGTTTGCTGACTTGGCAAACAATAAATGTCATAGAATGAGTTCTAATATAATATGTGACAGGGAAGTAGAGACAGGCTGAGAGGCAGATGGATAGGAAGCAAACTGTGGTGCTCATCTCAGACTCAAATCACCGATGGTTACAAACTGCAGCAGCCTGTTCGCATTAAATATGGCATGGATAATTGATGGGCTTTGGACATTAAATCTGTCCTAGGTGCATACACTGCATGTGTTTGGGTGCGTGTGCATGTTGTGTTCCTGTGTAGGCATGTGTGTGCCTGTGTGTGTCTGTGTGTAATTGATGGGGCTTGGACAGGGATACTGGCAGACCACCAAAGGAAGTCAGGGACACTCTGCCAGGGTCTTCCGAAAAAAATATATGCATCGATCTTGCCAAGCTTCTTATCCCCTGCACCTTTACCTGCAGAATCACTATTTAAGAATTATACCTTCACTCAGAAATAAGTTAGATGGTCATGTATGTACAGCCACACGCATGCAAACACACTGTTGTATGAATATAACCAAATGTGCTGTCTCCTGAGATCATGATTATGATAATGTCTTCACCAATATGGTGATGCAAACTGACGGAGAGGAAGACGTGCTGCTCAGCCTGATGGCTTTTAGGGTATTTTGGCAGGTACCTCTGTGACTGATTTTCTGAGTGTTATAGCATCACAACTGTGCTACATATAGTCACAAAACTGCAAGTATGTAGTTGGGTTGTGGATATGTTTAGTCTGATCCATGAGTACTGAGAAAATGACACTTTAATTTGTCCCACAGCACAGTGTGTCTGTTTAATGTATTTTTGACTTCCATGTATCTTTACATGATGTACAAACATATAATCATTGACACACAAGGCTGGGGTTTGATAATTCATCGCAGCTGGCTGGTTATCCAGCAGTTGTGCTCTGTGATACTAACCAATAACACTAACAGTTATGGGATCTCTGCATTTTCTTGAATAAATAATTTCCATGTTTTTTTGTGGGCGTGAAGGAAATCGGACAGTGGAGAGTTAAGTGTGTGGCAGGGATAAAGATTTATCGAGCTGATTTAAAAGTATGACCAAGGCAAAGACATGGTTAGGCTGTCCCTGTCCATGGTGCTGACTGCTCCATCATCATTACCACTGTCATCAGCCTCCTCCGCTTTGAGCCTACTGGAGCTGTCTGAGTGATACTGGTTTCTGTTTTTTATCAGGCAATGCCTGAGAAAGCAGTATCTGTGTTGGAAGGGGAAAGGAAAACAAACACTTGTTTATCAGACGATATTAGTCACAGCTTCTAAACACTGATTAAAGTAGAAGAAATTGAAGCCGGGGAAGGAAAAAAAATGTCCTGACGTAAGGATAATGTTACACGACTTCAAATTCACACAGCTCTCAAGATCCAGTCGGCTGATTTGATTGAAATAAAACAGCGTTCACCCGAACCACGATAAGACACAGAAATCGGAGGCACAATAGGTAAGACATTCAGTTACAAGACGGCAATTCTCAAGCTGGATTTCTTAGAAAAACAGCAAAGGGAGGTGCACAATACATCTTGGAGCTTTTTTCATAAAGCACTCACATAAAATGTAAAGAATTTCCTTACCTCTGTCGCCATATTGCAGTGAGTGGGTTGCGGGATCTGTCCCGTGCTGAAAACGGCAACCGTTTGCGCGTGCTGTTTGGGACAACGCAACTACAGCCCGCCGGTAAGCGGTCGCCCGCGTGCACGTGTGTGTGCGTGACTGCGCGCGCTCCTGCTGGAGACTCCTGCGGGATGCGGTCACTGGTGGTTATGCTAATCTGAATTTCTGTTTATCCAGAATAATCTGCTTTCAGATTCAGTCACAGTTCAGAAAGCAAACGGAGGTTACTTTGAAGCATCAGCAGTTTATTTGGGTTAGTTTTTCCTTTTTTGCCCCCCTTTTATTTTAGGGCTATATTAATAATTACATTGGTTATCAATAATTCAAACAAAGTGCCCTGGCTGCTGCTTCTGTTTGTGACCAGTCAGGATGCCCAACAATCGCTTTATCTTAGTCCTGTTTCTACAGCGTGGAGTATTAATAATAATGATGATAAAAATGGTCATTGGGTATTAGATCATCACATTGAATGATAAAGTGATTCCACTGGGAATATTACAGGAAAGTTTGTTTTTTTAAACAGATGACTCACTCTTAACTGCTAGCATGCAGAAATACTTCTGTTCAGTCATACTGTACCCTGTTTTCATATCTAGGCACTGCTTATACTCTTATCTGATTAAGGGAGACTGGTTATGATGGAGATATGAATCATACTGTAGTCCATATGTCAAATGCACCATCAAGATATACTCGTATTCAACATTTCTCATTCAGAGCCCATTCAGATGCACCGCATTGCTGCATTTTTCCCTTCAAGAAACAGAAAATTCTTCCACGTCATGGACACACCAAGGTCTTACCTGAGGTGAATTATTTAGAAGGTTGGCTTAAAATTCAAAAACGCGACTAAAATGTGGTAGCATGATAAAGACTTATATGTTTGTGCTACTGAAAATGTTTTTCTTTAGATAAAAATGAGAGAATGAAGAACTACAGGGAGTAAAAAGACTTTGTTTGACACCATGAATGCAGTGTGCTGAAATGAACGACTTCCCTGGCAAACTCCCTCAAATCAAACACAGGCAATGCAAACACACATTATATTTAGAAAGACACAACAGCAAGCAACTCTTGTGAATGGAAACAGAATCCAAAAATAAGACAGGAGTGCTCTAGCAAAAAGAAAATTATGCAAAACTAATATTATCCGCCAAGATCCCACTGCTTGCTCCAGATTGCTTGAAAAGATGTGTATCTAATCACACACTGGCACAGATTCCTTTGGGCTGTGTTTATTTATATCCACATTCACATGTTTTGTTTGCATGTGAATCTGTGTGTGTGTTCTCCATATGACAGTCTCTGATATGTCTTAAGCTCAGTCACATGTACACGTTATTAGGCACGCTGACCGCACCATTTGCCTGAGCTGAAACACCCTATTATTCAGCTGATGCGGTTTTTAGTGTAAATATTTAATTTATGTGCATATTGAAGTGGAATACATTGCAGTGAAACTCCTACACTGCAACACGAAGAAATGCCCATCACACACCCGAATACAGGTGACTTTAAAAAATCTTGAAGAAACATAAAAAAAGAATATCTAATGCATATTTAATGCATTATCTGATTTGTCAACATCACAAAGCTAAATTTTGACACAGTTTTAAACCTAAATAATCCCAAATAGGAGCAGATTTATTTATTTATTGTATCCTTTGTGATTGCAATCCTAAAAGATGAGGGGACTCCCCAAACACTTGTCTGTGGTAGACATTGGATCATTGCATATAACACAAGTATTCAACAACAACAAGAAAACCCTCAAAAAGGAAAAGGTTTTGCAGGTGGTCCTCACAGACTGTTTCTCTCTCCTATCTCTTCTGACTTATTTTTATGGGTTTTGGTTTGTGTTCGTGTTCACTGTCACTACTGCTAGCATGATGGTACATGCACCCCCATGTAGTCCAGCCCCTCCAGGATGGCAGATCCAAATGTGCCGTTGCAAGAAGGTCTCCCAGCACAGTCTAAAGAACGTGGAAGAGATGGACCACACCAGCAGGACCGGTATCTACGCCTCAGTACAAGGAAGTAAAGGAGGAGCGCTGGCAGAGTCCTCTACGATGACCTCTGATGGGCTACTTTAGCATTTTTCTGACAAACAGACTCCATGGGGCACGTGAGAGCTCAACATCCCATGTTTTGTGAGACCTGTGCTCACAGACCAGTACTGTGCAGGTCAAGTTGAATTCACTCGCAGACACTGGCACTTGCAGGTCTACCAGTGGTGCCTTACTTTCTTTATAGACGAGAGCATATGTACTCTGAGCACATTTGACAGACATCAAAGAATCTGTGGCAAACATTATGCTGCTTGCAACATCATCTATAATGATCTGTAATGACCTGTATTGAATTAATGGTCTAACATAACCAAACTATGCTGTGCCATGGCTAAGAAGGAAGGTGTGGCTGGGATGATGTGATGTTGTTGCGGACAGCTGTGGTGGCTATTTTGTGCTTGTGTGAGCATTTATATTTGATCACAGGATTGACACATATGTACTGATATGCTAAGATGACTGAGATAGGAAAGCTATTGGGATTTGAGCTGTCTTTTGGGTTTTCAGCGGATATAAGCGAGCTGTAGAAAATTACAGGGTTGTTGCGTTAAACCTTCCATCATGGCTGAACATATGCATTCCTATTCATATTGAGAAAGTAATGAAAGAAGACGTCTTCATATAATATCTCACTCTGCTATTTCAGTGTGAGTCTAAATCAACACTTCAGCAGAAAATAATAAGGTTGCCACAGCCCTAAATTATCATAATGACCCATAGTGCTGTACATAGACACACACTGACCGCACACAAATATTGTCTTTTTCACTTTTCGTATTTCATGAAATATTTATTTCAGCAAGACATTCTTGGTTTCTGCCTCGCTCCAGAACTGCCAGTTTCTATTTGGACCCTGTGCTGTGAAATGTTGAAGATGGTGATACTGACCCTGCAATGAAAAGGAAAATAAGAGCTTAAGAAAACATCAGCTATTTTTTTTCTCTTCCCATGTCCTTAAACTTGCAGTGTTAAGGTAGAATTAAACACTTTGTCAGGGTTTCTTGGTTAAAGTGGTTTTGACTTGTCAGGTTAATCAAATCATCACCTGCAATGTGGAAGAGTGACCAGTACATTGCATATGACATGACATGTGAATGGACAAAAAAATAAGCACTAAGGATTTTTAGTCCCCATGCACTTATTAACATCCCAGTTTGAATAACACTGTGCTTGAGCATTATGTTTGGCTCACTGCTACACAAATCAGTTTGTTGGTGTGCTTGGTTGCTGTCATGAAAGTCTTGTCTTTATTTGTGCCTTTTAATGCATGTGTGTGTCACTGGATTTGTGACTGTGTTGTCCTGAAATGCCAGTACATAAAAGTGCTAGTACAGACTTTCACTTTACTCTTGTGCGTCTCTCATGCTACCTCTACAAGGGTGTAATGCATGCAACTTGCGCTCATGCATGCCGTATTTTGTATCTCCAGCACATCTGGGCTCAGTGCCATTGCAAACACCCTTCTCTATTGACTTAACCACAAGTTGAGAATCTCTCTCACACACACTTATGCACAGAATTGGGCTGTAAGACAGTCAAAGAGATCCTGTTCTCTTCCAACATGACAGGAAATGAGAACACTCAACCCAAAAAAATATATTAACTTGGAATCTATAAAAGCAAATAAACATCTTCTCAAATGCCTCCCAACATTTTGGATAGTCAAATGAAATAAAGCTCGGCAAGTTGTCTTTTTCAGTCTGCCACACATCCTCAATCTTTTGTAAGAACCCATTGGCTTATGTAGTGTCTTTTTGGCCTCTCAGCAATTGGTCTGGTTCTGCTAGCAATCAGATCTGAGTCAAAGACTTTTCCATTTTAAAGCCAGAGGATGTTCTCATATCTAGGTAACTAGATAAGCTAGTATATGGGAGATTCACATGTCATTGTCGTAACACAACTCTAAGCAGACATTCAGGAGGAAAATGCTTATTCTGAGTGAAGTTAAAAGAAAGGAGCTGATGAATAGAATTATAAGAAAGGAAGAGGCTTGTTATTGCAGACAGAGGGGAGGAAGCTGTGATTCAGAGTATCCAGGCCTTTGTTTCTTCTTGCTGAGAAATAACAAGAACTGGGTGGCAGACATATAAACGAAAGAGGCTGACAATTTTGCATGTTCCCAATTATGTCGTGCTTGAGCCAAAGTACAAACAGAAGAAATAAGAAACATCCTTGTTATAAAATGCAGAATCTTCAATAACATAAAATGTCGTACTCAAGGGCTTGAATGGGGCAATACAAAGAAATAATCCATCTGTATAGAGATATGCATTCATTCCCAGACAGGCTAAAAATATTTCAATAAGGAAAGATTATAAGAAGGAGCTGAACATGATTTATTGATGTATAGAATTCAATATGAGGTATTTGGCACTTAGACTCTGATGGCCCATCACAGCAGAACAGAATCCCAGCGGTGATAGAGATTAGGACAGGAGTCTAGATGCTTTTGATGGAGATGAAGATGGTGGATTGAATGATGAGGAAGAGGCGGTGATGGGGAGGAAGTGGGTTGTCTCTGCAAGGAAGAAAAACAGATGCGCAGTGAGATTTAACATAGTTGAAGTGTTGAAGGCAAATTGGCCTAAAGAAGGCCAGCAGTGTGTGAAAGTGGAAGTGATGTAAAGTTTAAATTAGCCGCCAACACCTGAGAAACAGACAGGTGTATGACTACAGATCTTCCTTATTGAACTTACGCGTAAGCTTTATTAGAATAGAACTGAATAGGACATTTGGGATGAGAGAATGACATGCCAGAAGCATACAAAAGATTTTCATGTAATATATTTCAGATCAAGGGAAACACATCAGCATTACTGAGGTGCTCTGAGCTATCCGACACAGAGGTTGCAAAGGAAGAAAGAAGGGTGAGTGATGGGAAGGGAGCAAAGTCAAACAGAATACAGAAAGGTAGAGAGGATGCATTTTTGTGCATGTAATCCCGCATGAGCAACAATACAGTTAATTTAGCGGTGAGGAAGATAATAACATGCAACAAATGAA